CATCTGCCAAAGCCATTCAAAGAAAGGATGCAAGCTTATAATCTTTTGGACTTTTAAAAATGGCATAACATATTGTAAGATAATTACAGTAGTATATGTGTCAGTAAGAAAGCAGGATATGCATATTGTGAAGATTCATCGAGAAAGTCATTTTGCTAGTTTTGTGTGTTGAATTTGGTTGGGGATTTTCCTGCTATTTGTACTTTTGGCTTTCTTTGTGTATGCCACTTTTGCATTTTATTTTTCTGCTGGTGGGAGTCTTGTTTCCTGTTAGGTTGTGTCTAGGAAACAATTTCAAGGCATTCCTGTGGGACAATAACATGGATGGTGAATTTCCACAACTGACATTATGAAATAAGTGCTTCAACAGCCTGCAGGCTGATCTTCATTTTGTAACACTGCCTAGAAATCTCACTGCCTAAAAAATGTAGGACACTGGATAGGGCTTTTTTTAAATTAAAGTTTTCTTCACAGTGACGTTCTGTATGCCCTCTCCTTTTCTGTTTATAGTATATTCACATGAATACATTAACAGCAGCAGCCCCTTAACTGCTGCATTTCTTTTTAAAATCAACATTCTATAATTAATTAATATCAATTAATCCACTTGCAATGAATTTAACTGTGAATTATTGCACTTCTAATCCACTCACCACACAGTGTTTTCTAGATGATATACAATCAGTTAAAAATATAAAATGCAACAACAAAACAATGAAAAGAAGTAGAATATAAAACCATACAAAGGCAGTAGCAGGGAATAAACCATTTTGGTCTATTTGTTGTTGTTGTTGTTTGCCTTCAAGTTATTTCCAATTTATAGTGACTCTAAAATGAACTTATCAGAGGGTTTTCTAGGCAACATTTGCTAGGGAGGTTGCCTTTGCCTTCCTCTGAGTATGAGAGAGTATGATTTTTCCCATGGCCACCCAGTGGGTTTCCATGGCTGAGTGGAAAAATCAAATTCAAACCCTGGTCTCGAGAGTTGCAGTCCGATGCACAAACCACTGCTCCATGCTGGCCTATTAAAACCAATTAAAACCAGCAGCAGGATAAAAGTAGAAACATAAAATACAATTATCAATGTGTATCAGAGAGCTGAAAAGATGCCTGGTTGGCTGTCTCCTCCCTCCTGAATGTAATGAGCCAGGAGAGGCAAGGTATGGCATGCATGTGGTTGGTCAAACACTATCACACACATGCTGTCCAACTGTCCAGATTTGTTAGGTGTGTGTGTGTGCACATGCACACGTGCATGCATTCTTGAGACCCAGTGGGGTATAGTGCTTTAAACATTGGACTGTGACTCTGGAGGTCAGGGTTCAATTCTTCACTTGGCATAGAAACCCAGTGGGTGATCTTGGGTGAGTCACACATTCTCAGCCCAAGGAAACCCCATTATAGGTTCATTTTAGGGTCACCATAAGTTGAAAATGACTCGAAGGCACACAACAACCTTCAAGTCACCTGCCAACTTATGGCAACCCTATAAATTTCTTATGGTTTTCTTAGGCAAGGAATACTCTGAGCTAATTTTTGCAGTCTCCTGTCCAACTGCTAACCAGGGTTGATTCAGGTTAGCTTCCAAGAGCAGACAGAATTTGGTGCCAATTAGGCCCCAATAGATTCTCTATTGCCCCACTTCCTTAACTGTCTTGAAAATATCATAGATCCAAAATACACTGCAGGTATTTTTGAGACTGCTTCAACTGCCCTGACTCAATGATAGGGGATGCTGGGAACTGTAGTTTTGCAAGACATTTAGCCTTTTCTGTCAGAGAGCTCTGGGGCCACAATAAATTACAATTCCCATAATTTCCTAGCACTGAGCCAGGGCAGGTAAAGCGATCTCAAACTGAATTATTTCTGCAGTGTGTTTTGGACCCCAGTTTCTCTCTCCTTCTTCCACTTTCTCCCTTACTTCAATCGCTGAAAGGTGAGCTCAAAGTACAAAAGTAGTTTAAATTCAATATATTCAGCAGGAGGGAGAGGTAAGGAAGAGCTCCCCTTCCTAAATTAAGTACATGAATTCTAGAGTTTCCTTGCTTAAAGTAGTTGTTTTCTGTTCTCTTCTTCATTCATAACTATTGCCTCTTGTTGCCTTGCTTGATCCCTTTGACCATACACTGACACGGGTTGGCCACATGTGTCCCAGTTTTCATCTGTGAAATTTTGGGACACAGGAAAACACCTAGTCCATATCAGGCCTCACCAACTTGCTTTATTTTCACGTTCCTGCTGCCAAGATTGGTTCATGATCAACTTTAAGGAAGATCCAAGCACTCCAGTGTCCTTGGAGAAACCTTGTGGCTTGAGGTCCTCCTTGAAAATGAACAACAACAACAAAAAGAAGCCAAAAATGATGAACAGCTCCTTTCCAGATTTGGAAGTCAGTTCTTTGTTGCTAAACAAGTTTGTTTTCCAGTGGGTACTGGAGAGTGTCTCATAAATGAACTAAAAAGTATATTCCAACTTGAATTTTGCCCAGAGAGGGCTGTGGTCTTTTTTTGTTTAAGGCCACTTTTGCAATTTTGGTCACACCTCTTACATTTTCTGAGAAGTTTTCATCATAAATTCATCAGAATTTTAGTTCATTGGTTGTGATAAAGCAACACTAAATATTCTTCACTTTCAAAGTTCTGTCTGGGTAGAAATATTCCCTGACAAACACTTCCTGTAAACATTCACCTTTTCAAATTCTACAAGGTGCTGTCATTTTCCTTCTGCTGATGGCTGCTACATTGGCACATTTTTTTAAAAAATGACACTGCCTTGCACAGAGTCAGGGACATTGATCATACAGTCCCGCAAAGTTTGTTTTGATCTGCTACAATCTCTCTCCAAGGTCTTTTCCATCACTTACTCACTTCCCACCTTTTCCTTTAGCACTTGATGTTAAGGCAAGCATGGGGAATGTGTGAACTTCCAGATATCGCTAGTCCACAGGTCAGCCCGCAATATTGGCCATGGTGGATAAGGATGATGGGAGTCAGAATTCAGCAATACCTGGAGGACCCCAAGTTCAGCATCCCACACTGGTGATTCAGCTTTGAACCTTCTGTATTCCAAACATGATTTGGGAAAGGATTCCTCCCTTGGCCGTATGGTGTTAAAAATTCAGGTTCGGAGAATGTGGCATCTCATGTGGCACCTGTCCTTTGCTCCCTTTCAGAGCAGTTTCACCTGTCCTTTGCTCCCTTTCAGAGCAGTTCCAGGTCTTACTGCTGCCTGAGGTTAATATCTTAAGATATTACTAAGGTTGCATCCACACTGCGGAAATAATCCAGTTTGACACCACTTTAACTGCCCTGACTCAGGGGCTGTACAGACCTGGGGGAGGAGTTGGGACATGGCAACTGCATGCTGGCTGCCTCAACTCTACCCGCACATCGTACTCACGGTGCCCACCCAAACAGATGGCGGGCAGCATCAGGGTGCTCCCTTGGTGCAGCGTTCATACACACCGTGCCAAAGGAGCACTGAAAAGCTGCCACCATGGCAGCAAGGGCAGCTCTAAAAAGGAGAGGCATTTGCCAGCTCTTTTTAGAGCAGCAAAGTGCCAGATCAGGGCCACGGCATGTGGTTGCCATGGCCCCGATCCAGTGGTCCCAGGGGCGTCACGGAGCTGCCTCTCAGGGGCTGCCCCTCAGTGCTATGGAATTCTGGGCATTGTAGTTTGGTGCAGCACCAGAGCCCTCTGAAAGAGAATGCTAAATGTTCCACAAAACTACAGTGCCCAGAATCCCACAGCATTGAACCATGGCAGTTAAAGTCTGGCCAAACTGCATTATTTCCACAGTGCGGATGCAGACTGTTTTACCCCATGGTTTTCCATATAGCCCATTTTCCCTTCTCTCTCTCTCTCTGTTGCATTTCTTCTGACATTTATTGGTTGGAATAGAGATTGATTCAACCTGCCACAGCCAGGTAGAGGCTTACAAAACAGTGGCTGTGCTACTGAGCTAGAGCACTAAGGCTTAATCTGCACTGCAGAAATAATGCAGTTTGAACCCACTTTAGCTGCCTTGGTTCTATGCTATGGAATTCTAGGATTTGTAGTTTTGTGAGATATTTAGCTTTCTCTGTCAGAGAACTGTGGTCCCACAACAAACTGCTAATCCCGGGATTCCATAGCATTGGTTCCATATGCTTGAAGGTTCAATACTCTTATAATAATAACAATGATACTCAATTTTTGTATGTTGTGGACTACAACTCTAGAGAGCAACGTTTAAATCTCTACTTGACAATGAAAGCCCACTGGGTGACACATGGTCTCAGCCTCAGGGGAAGGCAATGAAAAAAATATTGCCAAGAAAACCCCATGATAGCTTTACCTTAGAGTTGCCATAAGCTGGAAACGACTTGAAGGCACACAACAACAACAAATGCCAGATAGAGCATAGGGCAAGGGGATGGGATTAAGGACTAGGGTGGAAGAGAGTGTGTGAGACTAGCAAAAATCCAGTTGTGCTATTGAAGAGATGTGCAATAGAGAATGCTCCCAAACCAGCATGTATACATTTTCATTTATTAACCTGATTGCAGTGAGAATGGGGGTTGTGTGATAAAGTCCTATGATCTCATAACCATTGAACAGGATGCCAGCCATAGTTTTTACCTATTGTATCAGTGAAATTATTTTAACATGGTAACCACCATGTGGTAAACCCCAGCACAATAAAGGGCATCCATTATTGACAGGACACAAGGAGGGCGACGTGACTGCATAATCTCTCAAAAATGCATACATAGAGATACTTGGTAATATACACTGTGGGGCTGAAGAAGACTAATTCCATGGCAAGGCACCCTTCTGTGATGATTTCTGCAGCTGTCACATGTCCAAGCTCAAATTGCTGGTCTGTAGTCTGGCATCAAACTGGCACCAAATTGTCACGGCAACTCTCTGCTGAAATTGCCTTGCTCATCATGGTATATTGCTTTAGAATTGCTGATACGAGCATCTCCATTATCTCAGAAAAGGTACTGGTACCTCAGGCAGAGTGGTGCAGTGGTTTGAGTGTTGGTCCATGATCCTGGAGAACTGGATTCAAATCCCTGCTCAGCCATGAAACTCACTGGGGGACCCTGGGCGAGTCACACTCTCTCGCTCTTAGAGGATGTCAACGGCAAACTTCCTCTGAAGAAACTTGCCAAGAAGACCCCATGATAGGGTTGCCATAAGTTAGAAATGACTTAAAAGCACACAACAACAATAACAACAACAAACCTCAGATTGAGAAGTTTCTCCCTGCTTCACTATGTGTGCAGTCAGTTGAGATGAGAAAAAGTCAAGGCCAGACAGAAAGAAAAGCAAGAACAAGGAAGCCATTTGCCATCATTCTCAAATATATTCATGGGAAACACATAGTCACTTCCATTTAACTTTAGTTTCCAGCTGTCATGGTTGCAAACATGCTAATTAAGCATCACAAAAGCAACAGTGACACAGTTTTACACCAGCAAAACACAAATAAAAGGACATAGCCCTCCATATGGTTGAAGGATCCAAGTTTTTGATCAGCCACAGACTGACAGGCCTGAGAAAGATGAGGTGGTTGATAACACAAACTGCAGTATACTATCTGAAGCTGTCTGCTGTCTGTGCAATGACAAGAGATTGTGCTGTCTGTGCAGCAAATGAAGAAGAGAATTGCTTGGAAGTTTTGCTTTGTAGCTGAGAAGGCAGTGTACGTTCACACATAGAACAAGGGAACAGAGTGTCTTGTCTCTCCTTTGTGCTGTGTAGACTTAGGAAGCTATGCTGCAATTGGAAAGGTTGCTTGTCTAAGATAACTTATGTTTACTGTGATCATGGAAAATGCAGAACTGAGGCCTCTATTCTCGTCTGTACTATTTCCAGGACAGAAGACTTAGAATATTCATCTAACAGTGCTCTTCTGTTGTGCAAAATGAAGAGGATCATTTGGGATAAGGAGGTGGTTTGTGTAGCAGGTAGATGATTAATGGTCTCTGACAGTTACTTGATATTCCTAGAATTTGAAATGTAGGTCACTTCTTGGTAGGAGGGTAGAATTCTACCTCAGATGGCACGTCTCAAAAGAATTTATAAGAGAAGCAATTTTGAATCAGACTAGAAAAATGAAGTCTGAGATTTTGAAGCTGGTTTGTAACTTCTGCAACCTGTCAGGGCATGATATTGCTTGAAGGGTAGATGTTGGTTGACACATCAGCATTGTGGTCCTTTTTGTTTTCCCTGTACTAGTGGTGGAGAACCTTGATTTATGGGAACAAAACCGGTGCTCCCAGGGTCCAAATCTATCCCTCAGACTGTCCTTTTTCCTTTGCCATGGTACCATCATTTGGTGATTTCCCAGCTTTTGTATGTTATAGTTTGAAATGCCTCTCCCAATGCTTATTTAATACCTACTGAAATACCCTGAAAGCACCAGATCGCATCCGATCTTGGAAACTAAACAGGGTTAGAATTTGCATAGGTGACTATTATGGAATACCAAGTATTATAGACTATATTTCAGAGGAAGACAATGACAAACCAGCTCTGAATATTACTCGCCTAAGAAAACCCCATGCAATTCATAAGGTTACCCTGATTTAATAGGCAACACACACAGAGTTTATTTACTAGCTGGAAAATGTGGTGAGATATGCAGATGACACCATAGTACTAGCAGAAAATCTCACAGACCTGGAACATCTACTAAGGCAGATCAAAGAATAAAGCGCTAAGGCAGGCTTAACGTTGAACATAAAGAAAAGAAAAATAATGAGCATTGAGGTCCTTCACAAGTTCAACCTAGACAATCGAGAAATAGAAATAGTAAAAGAATTCTCATACCTGGGATCAATCATAGAATCATAGAGTTGGAAGAGACAAAGGCCATCCAGTCCCATCCCCTGCCATGCAGGAACTCCCAATTAAACCATCCCTGACAGATGGTCATCCAGACTCTGCTTAAAGACCTCCAAGGAAGGAGACTCCACCACTC